ACAAGAATAGCAGCTACAGCCTCATAATTATTTATGTCAGGTTCAGAGCAGATAAGCAAGTCAAGTACTTCATTTTTATGCATTAAATGCCACAATTACAAACAAAAATATATAACTTTGAGAAGGATCAACTAATTTTAGCAAGAAACCAAGGTCAATGAATTTCTAAAATGGTTTATGGTTTCATATTCAGTTTTGGTAGGTATTTGTCAACAGTGATACAAAGAAAGTTAAAAAAAAATTCACTGACTACCAACAAATGTGTGCATATGCATATAAATCTTTTCATATTAATATTACAGATAGAATTTATGGGTTTCTACTTTAAATACTTTCATTTATTAAGTGATTAGGTTGGGAAGACTTCTGACAAAGTAAAAATTTACAAAAAGCTTCCCTTCTGAAATCAAATACAAGACCTTTAGAACCAAGAATAATAGCAACACTGGAGAATAAAAGGATTGAAAGAATCAGCTTTGATAACATCCCGAGTTAAAATCCATATTTCACACTTCAAAAAAAATGAGCTGAAGTAGCATAACAAAGGTAAATAAAGAATTAACAATCATCAACATCTGAATAATAGATCTGAATAAAAGTTTAAATCTAAAATTCCAAGAATGTCACCATGCATGACAGGCATCTGAAATACAATGGCTGAAACACTGCATAATAATAATCAAGATGAGGACACCTGGACAAGTCTAATCATTTGAACAAAAAAAAAAAAATGAAACAATCTTTCTGTCATGTGTCAAAGAATGGGATTAATGCTAAGTATATGAATAAGTAACACTAAGAGCAAATCACTCTTGATACATTTCATATGATTAAGGAATATATTGAAAATAATCCAGAAATGTTTAAGGATTCACTTAATGACAAATATAATAATTATACTGAATACTATGCCAAATCTATTTAAGCATTCAACTGTCTCCTGAATATAGTTTTCTAAATAAAATTCTGTACACTTTTAGTCAAACTTTAAATTTTAACTACTTAAATGTTTTGAAACACTTCAAGTATAGCAAACATTTCTAACTCATTGACTCTTACTATTTTAACCTTTTACAATTTTAATTTACATATCTCATCAACCAGATTTTATATCATAAAATCGATAGCATAAATTTTACAAGAAATTTATTATCTAGTTTATTCAGGGAGAGACTATAATAGAAACTTAACACGTGATAACTCTCGTAATTCTTTTTAGACGAGATCAGATAAAACCAGCAAAATGTTTAAGTACAACACAGCTAAATTTTAGAGTATTCAAATGAAAAGAAAGACAAAGGAATATAATCCTGAAGATTAATGAAAGAAGTATTGCTGATTAATTCTTTTGAATTAATATCCGCATTTTTTTTTTTTTTTAAAATCACAACACTTTTGCCAATACTTGCCTGGAGTAATCTTCAGAATCTTTGATCTTAAATCCAAGTAGGTATATTGTTCTTATCCTTTGATTTATTTCCTTAAAAAAGTTCTTTAACTACTGTCTTTTTTTTCATTTTTTCTGGTGCTCCCCTGTTCTGATACAAATCAGGTGAATTATTGATACTGCTAAAATGAACTGAACTGAGAACTTACTAGAAGAATTAGATAAAAATTTTCAATCACAATGCTAATATTTTTAAGGTTTCAGCACTAAGTATTGGTGGAGAAGTTACTAATTTTAGCAGAAGAACACACCTTTTCATACAAATATTTTCTTAAGCCTGCTTCTTCCTGATAAAACTGCTAAATACTTAAATAAATAAATATCTTACACTTGGTAATTTTCTTTATTTTATTACTGTTTATATATATATATATATATATATATATATATATATAAAAATTATATATATAAATTTTATAATAATAAACAGTAAAAAAAAGAAAATTGCCAAGTGTAAGATATATATCTTACATTTTGTATCTATATCTTACATTTTGTAGTTGTTGTTGTTTATCATTTTTCTTTGCTGATCAGTTCTTCCAACATTTAACAAGAATATCAATGATTCAAACTTAAATTCCTATGATATAGGAATTTATCTTACATTAGGTTACCACAAACATGTCGGGATCAGGTACTGTTTTCAGAAAATCTAGCAACTTTCAACTTTTCCTCCTGTATTATTAATGAAAATAACTTTGATCTAATATTCAATTCAATATGAGAGGATTTATCTCATCTGAAGTTAATCCATTATTTCAAATCCACTTAAAAAAAAAAAATAAAATAAAAAAATAATGAATTGGATACAATTAAAAGTAAAGTCTCAATATACTAAAAACAAGTATAAAAATATCCTGAAATAATAGAGGCAACTTAGAAAGCTCAAAGTTGATAATTTATATAGTATTACATTAAAAATGCGTTTGGTGATCATTATTTCATTAATAAATATCTTTCAAATTATTCAATTTGTCATAAAAGACAAAATTCAGCTTCAAGCATCCAGTAATATCAAAGGTCTTTGAAATTAGTTTCATACCTCAGTGTATGGTTAAGTTAAAACAACTTTAGTATAGGAGACAAGGAAAGTAAATCATACTTATTATAAAACCCAGGTTGTGTGTGTGTGTGTGTGTGTGTGTGTTTATATATTGGATCGGATTTCCTACATTTTTCAACTGATTTCAACAAAACTTCACAGGACTACGTAAAATTACCTTGCAGTGGTTCTGACAGCACCAAAAATTGGAAAAAAAACAATTGTTTATGCACGAAATCAATTTGAAAATGCGATTAAGAGGCATCACTGTCGCGAGAATGAAAGGGGGACAACTCATATCAAGTTATACTTATTATAAAACCCAGGTTGTTTGTGTGTGTGTGTTCATTTATATATGAGATCGGATTTCCTACATTTTTCAACCGATTTCAACAAAACTTCACTTTTTTTTTTTGGCAGGTAGTGTTTCTTATTGTCTTGCACACTTTTTTCTTTATTTTTACATTCAGAATGCTTTAAAAATTCCATTTACAAGACAATTGTTTATAATAAAATTCTATTCAATCAGTAGACTCATAACGATTGAAAACAATGTTTTTGTTTGAGTTTGACCAATTCGTAAAAAAAAAAAAAAAAAAATACTAATTAAGACATGCGTATCCGTCAAATTTAAACAATAATCTTTGTCAATTTTATTTTTCAGTCTTTATGATGGTCGATACTTGATCTATCTCTTACTGTTACATCCCCGGGCAACACCAGGCTCTACTGCTAGTATAAAATAAGCTGCACTAGAAGTAGTTTCATCCAACACAGCAAATCATTACAAAACCAAAACATTAACCTAAAAACTAGAGTTTTTTCATATGGATGTCTTGCATGGTGTGAAACATATTCAGAAATATCTAAACTGGGAGCTGTATACAACCACTTTCTCATATTAATGGTTAAAAACCTCTTTGAGCAAATGAAGCGTGAATGTTTTAGCAAGAATCATCCTTCTTTGAACCTCCTGGACTGACACCACTGAATCACAGAATCATCCTTCTTTGAACCTTGTGGACTGGCACCACTGAATCACAAACAAAGAACTGTACCAAATAACAGAAATATCACTTGAGGACTTTCAACAACAGCTAAAATGTATGTCACATCTATGTCAAAGAGAAAATAATGACATAATCAAGATTATGTGGAACATTGATGTTTCCCACTACTTTTAACAAATGGTTATGAAGGATAATACTAGACAAAGCAATAACAGTGGACTTGAGAAACTTATTTCTCTGAAAAATTGTTTTAACAAAAAGATTTTATAAATTTCAAAAAGTGGCATTGGCTGCTCTTTCAATGAATGCCAACAATTTTCTTATAAGGAAACAGTTAATATTACTATTTCTCCACTCAAATCATTTTAAATGCAAATCTTTCAATAATCTATATTTTAAAAATCCAGTAAAATAAAAACATACAGGAATCAAGAGGAATCAATCAGCATAAGCAGAGCTCTTTTAAAAAACAAAAACAAACAGACATACTAAAGAGAGGGATGTAACGTGACCATAAAATACTAAAAAGATGCAATCAATTGTTGTCAATAATTGAAGATGTTTCCTACTCTGTGAACTTTAAAATTATAGGATCACTTTTAATCTTTAGAGTAAAACTTATTCACATTTTTATGACAAAATTTTAAAAGGAATAATAGAAATTTATATGGCAAATCAAACACAAGCTGGACAAAGAAAACAAGCTTTCATTTGTTCTTGAAAAAATTAGGAAACAAAATCAACCTTGAATAAGTGAAATGTAAGTTCAAAACTTAAGACCAAAATTAGAATATAAGACATTTGTAAACAAAAATCAATTTGGACTAGAAAATATCCATACAACAATGACCAAGAAAAATTAGTCATTATTTCTTTTAGTATTTAATAAATATACAGCCATTTTGTTATTTACATCTTCAGAAATGCTATCTTTTAGGCCAGTTCCCATCAGAAAAGACCTCAATGGTGGAACAAGAAGATGACAATTACAACAGATTTCAATGGTTAAACCAGCAGATGAAGAAGGCTACACATGGTGGACATGCTACAGAAAGTGCCACTCAAAATTCTAAGTCCAATGCAATTTCATAACTGGATTATTCAAAGTTTCATTCCATATGTGCCACAGAGGAAAATCAAGAAATCAAGTGTGTAGGTCACTTCCAGGCAAGTTGAGAATGACTTTCAACAAATTCATATCAGCACTTCTATTCCGATTTATTTTTTCACCTCCAACCAAATCTGGCAAAGCCAAATGGCACTAGTGAATGAATGACAGGAGAAGGTTTTGGTGAAACTGAAAGCTACTTGTCTTGAATTTATATGTTAGCAGCAAATTTATTCATCAACGCCATCATTATAAAGGAAGCAATCAGTAAAGAAAAAATTAGATTCTTGCATATGAGATTAAGCCAATAACATCAGAAAAAGAACAAGAGATGGCAAGAAATACTAAATTGTACATGAAACTAAAAATATGAAGTTGAGAGAGACTAACTACCTTGGAGCTGTCAACGAGGACATGAATTCGGAATAAAATCACATCATTGACAACAACATCTTCATTGCGATAAAGAATCTGAAAGGTCTTGCTCACTGCTACACCATTTATGATGCTGGCTGGGAGGACAAGGGGATTCTCTGAAAAGAAAAAAAAACAAAAAACATTATACAAAATCATTGCATACATCTACAGAAACTGTCTGCATAAAAAAAACAAAGGAAATTAATGTTTGGTTTATATATGATAGTGGAAACCTAAAATTTTAAATAAGTCTTTATTTTGGGCAAAAAGTATCAATACATTATGGCAGTAATAATTTTTTTTTCTTTTTTAAATATTTCAAGGGCATTAATTTACCAAGTGTTATATTTAGAAATGAAATAGAAATTTAACTATTAAAATTTTTATATCTTTTGAATACCCACACAATAAAAATTGCTTGATATTTCAAAATGGTACATTTTCCACTAAAGCATAAAACATGCAGTCACCACTTGGTGTTGACCTCACTGTCTCTCTCACTAGATTATATATATATATATATATATATATATATATAGATAGATAGATAGATATGTGTGTGTGTATATATATATATATATATAGATAGATAGATATATATAAAATGGATAGGATAAAAAATGTACATGCATGCACATATGGAAGTACATTTATTCCTCAGGCGTTATAAATAGTGCTCAATGTTATGAAACCAAGCTATAAGTATATATAAGCAAAGAGCTAGAATGCAGCAACCATAATGAGAAATTGGAGTATGTAGTAAGAAATAACAACAAAGATAAAAATAAGCTAAAACAATGCAAACGTAACATATGGTTCAACCCACCATACCACAGTAATGTCAAAACCAATGTCGGTAGAATTTTTCTGAATTTACAAACATTTTGGTCATTCTCCAATACTTAAAAAGATTTTCAATGAAAACAACAAAGTAAGCTATAGCTGTACAAAAAACATAGATAATTACACATCCCAACATAACAATAATGTATTAAGCAAGCTCCCAAACAAAACACTAAGAAAATAATCCTACTAAAAGTCAATGCAACTGCCGTAAAAACACAACCTGCCCGTTAAACAGCCAGTGTATGACTGAAAGTATTATATACAGAGCTAATATCAACTCAGACGACGATGTTAAATATTACTTTGGATCCATTGAGAACAGCTGGAAATCCTGTTTTTATCACCAAAAACTGACACTGAGTAATATCAAATACAAAAACTTCACAACACTTTCAAAGTATATTTGGTGATTAAAAAGCAACCATAAGAACCCAACCATTAACTGGGATATAATTGCAAAAGCTAAGCCATACAATGAAAAGGGAGACAGATGTATGTTGTGTTCATTGGTGAAGCTTATTATATTAAAACACTTAAAATTGCTGAACATGAGATTGGAATTAATTCATGTATCCACAAATCCAAGCACCTGCTCAAAAACACTGACCCCAATTAAAAGTGATTGCAAAATGGATTTCACGAATATTAATATGCAACAACTTTTAATATTCCCAGAACCCATTATCAATAACTTTCCTTATATACGTGTACACACATACAATGCAATATTACTGTACTCAATTTATAACGTGTGTGTGTGTATATATATAATTTCACTGTTATAAGTACATTAGATATATAGTCCCGACCTATTACTTATTTTTTGCAACTTTATATTTCTAATTTGCATTCGTTTACATTAATAGACATAACTTGGGTATTTTATGGTAAAAATAAAACAAACAAAAAAACAAAAAAAAAAACAAAAAAACAGTGTTACCCCCTTGATATATTGTTTACTTCCAAATCCAAATAATTTTTTTCTTTTTCTTTATTATTTTCTAATTCGTTGACATTTGAACTTATGAATTTGAATGATAAATTATTAATACTTAATTCTATATTTTAAATAGACAAGTTTGTACATGCTATTTTGAATCACCATCATGAAATAGATAACAGTCAGAATCCCCACACCTGAAGATTGCATAAACTGTATGAAACACCAAGTATTTTTATTTATTAAACTGACAGATTTTTATCAATTTAAACATTTTTTTTAGTGGATACTCCTATTTGAGTAGATGCTCCAGTTATTCATTAAACAGTATATTTATTTATTTTCATCTACCAGCCTTAATATTCAAGAAATCTATTAAATAAAAATATGCACTCGCCGGCATCCCCTGTGTAGCCAGAAACCATCATTAGATATGACATGCCTGTTTCAACCTTGTTTGATTGGTAAAGCTTTTTTGTGGCCAAGTCAGTTTAGTCTCATCAGATCTAATGATAGTTTCCATCTGCTCAGAGGGACACAGGTTAGAATCCTGCCAGAGAGCACGTTTTGCTTTCATAAGATTTCTTGAATATTCAGACTAGTAGACAAAAATAAATATACTGTTTATTAAATAAGCAGAGAGTTTATTCAAATATAAGTATCCACTAAAAATAACATTTAAAGTGATAA